AAAAAAGGGTCAGGAGGGTTTATCTGCTTTGTTTTTAGTTTAGGGGTTTAAATGCTATGTTGGGGTAAGATCGGGGGCTTAAGAAGAGTTTTTTGCCTAGTTTTTTCGCTCGACCTAGCATTCTGTATTGCTGTCTCGAGCTGAAGAAATCACTCCTTTGAAAGGCTTCTTCCTATAAATTCATCGCTCAAATAGCGTTTTTCCTTTCTGCCAAGGAGCTTTCTCCACCGGGAGGAGATATTTTTTAGTGGTTGACTTCGGTTGACTCGTCTTCACGAGTACGGGTGAGTTTCTCGATCATTTTTTCCTTATAAGCGATTCAGGTGTACATACTATCAACTTTTTCATCATGATTTGAATACATCATACATGATTGGTTGTTTTGATAATTTTCTGGATCATTTCTTTTGCTTTTAATTTCATTGGCGTTATGACTTCAACTCTGTGTCTTTGTTTTTGTTTGGTTGAATCTTTATTTCTATGACCGGATCTGCTCACTGGGTTAATGACATGAGCTAACTCGGATTAGTAATGTTCATTTTTTTTCTCTCTCTTTGCAGAAATTCAAAGATTGTCACTGAAAATGACAAAGGAAGAAAGGAAAGGAAAAAAGATAAAAAAGCAGGCTGCCAATCAAGCAGGCAACAAACGAGGACCAAGACGTCCGTGGAAGCAACTATCAGTTGAAGAGATGAGGATAAGGAGGCAAAAGAAAATCAAATGGGATAGAGATTATCTGGCAAATATCAAGGTAAAGCGATGTCTTGTTGTTTCCACATGTATTAGTATAATTGTAGGAAAGTTTAGTGAATTTAGTTGAATTTAGTGAAAGTTATTCTTTGTAATTAGAGATTTCTTTTTTAATTATATATTTATAGATTTCAGTTGGATGAGTTTATTTCTCTAAGATTATTTGTGGGAAACAAAATGGTATCTATTTTGTTACGAATGATTGATGTTTACTTGAATTATATTACTAAAAAATCCTAATCTATTCTGTTTTAATAGGAAATGTGTTTGGAGTTAGAACGCATGAAGAAAGAGTGCAAGAAAAGAGAACGAGAAATCTTAAAGGTATGATCGATGATCTTTAATTTATGCACTTTCTATCAAAACCTAGAGGAGATGGATTGATGATCCATGAGATAATAGCAATTACAAATAAATGCAATAAACCTTTAATTTCATATATTTGCCTTGAAAATTTTGTTTTACCTTAATTTGTTTTTTGTTTGTCAAATGAAGGGTATGACAAAGCAAGAACCAGAGTTGACAGCACACTTCATACGGCCTTGTGGATATTTCATGGTGCGATTACATGTGCCTTACTTCCTTCCAAGTTCAAACCATGCAACTTTTCTTTTTGGTTTTTACCTCATTTTTTTTATTTATCATTTTTGATGCATTAACTATGTCAACATTCAAACGCGAACCTAATGGTTTGATTGAAAGAGGTTTTAGATAAATTATTTGATTTTTTCTGGTGCTGATGGAAAGAGTATGAACAATTTGTTTCTAGAATGTACTCAGTCTCTTTATCTTTGGATGAGATGCTGTACTCTTGGAGGGGATTTGGCTCTGTTTTGCACTGA